TAGACTGATTTTCTTGTGTGTCCCCTGCCTGTGAAATCCTTATCATGATGTCCTGAAGAAAATGTATGTAGTCTTTTATAGACTGGGACAAAATGTGCTGTGGGAAATCTCAAGAAGAGTGATTTTTGTTTTACAAAGTCCCACATTCTCCAGGATAGATTTTAAGTTGGGCCACAAGTGTTAAAATCATGTATCAAGTAACTTTTCTGACCACAGTGTGAAAAACTAGAAATCAGTAACAGGCAGAATGGTGGAAATCATATAAATTCATGGGAATTAAATGACATTCTCCTGAAAAACCAGCCGGTCAGCGAAGAAGTTAAAAGAATTTTAAAAATGTCTTGAAGCAGATGAAAATGGGAAAGAAACACCATTTATTAAAACCTATGAGACAAAATGTTAAGATGGAAGTTTATTTAATTATTATTATTATTATTTTATTTATTGTAGTACCAGGGATCAAACTCAGGACCTTGCACTTGCAAGGCAGGCGCAGTGCCACTGAGCTAAATCCCCAGCCCTGATGGAAGTTTATATAGAAAATGCTTGTCCTAAAAAAGTAGAGGGCTGGGGAAAAAAATAAAAAAAAAGTAGAGGGCTGGGCGTGGAGGTGCACACCTATGATCTCAGCACTTGGGAGGCTGAGGCAGGAGGATTGCAGCAAGTTCCAGGCAAGCTTGGGCTATATAGTGAGTTCAAGGACAGCCCAGACTACATGGTGAGATACTGTCAGTAGGAAAAATGAGTAGGAACGAAATAATAAAGATCAGAGCAGGAAAAAAAAAAGACCAGAAAATAATACATAAGATCAACAAAATGATTAAGTGTTTTTTTTTATAAAATTAATAAAGATACAGAGAGAAAGGATTCACATTAGAAGTTAAACAGAAACATTACATTTAATACCACAGAAATACAGTACATTTTAAGGGACTGTTATCTATATACCAATAAATTGGAAAACTTTAAAAAAGCGATAAATTCTTAAATACATGCCACTAGTTGGACCGTAAAGATAAAAGAAATCTGAACAGGGCCGGGGATTTAGCTCAGTGGTTCGGTGGACTGCCTTGCAAGCGCAAGGACCCGAGTTCAATCCCTGGTACCAAAAAAAAAAAAAAAGAAAAGAAAAAAATATCTGAACAGACCAATAACAAATAATGAGATTGAATCAGTAATAAAAAGTCTCCCAGCAAAGAGAAGTCAGGACCTGATGGCTTCATTCACTCCTAAATACTGTGAAACATTTAAAGAAAAAATAATATCAATTCTTTTCCAAATTTTCCCCCAAAAGGAAGAGGAATTCTGCCATACTCATTCTACAAGGACAGTCTTATCATGTTACCAAAGTAGACAGACACACACACACCGCACCAATATCCGTGATCAATACAGATGCAGAAATTCTCAACAAAACACTAGTAAACTGCATTCAGCCCCACACTAAAAAGAGAATTCACCACGATCAGGCGGGGTCAACCCCCAAAATGATTCAACATATGCAAACCAATAATGATAAATCGACTGTATGAAGGGCAAAGTTTGGCTTTCGATAGATGCAGGAAAAGTATTTGATAAACTTCAACATCCTTTCATGATGAAAAGTCAGCACATTGGGTATGTGAGGAGAGTAACTCAGCACTGAAGGCCAGGTGGGACAAACCCGCAGCTGGCATTATATTGGATGGGGGGCAGCTGAAAGCTTTTCCTCTACTATTGGGAGCCAGATAAAAGGTGCCTTTTACCAGTTCAGTCTGACGTAGTATTGGAAGTCCCCCCGCCATCCCACCGGTGGTTAGGAAAGAACAAGTACATCCGGATTGGAAAGGGGAAGTCAGATTATCCCTATTTGTAGATGATGCAGTCGAATGTATTGAAAGTCTAAAGACCGAGCAAACTTTCAGACTTAAATTTAGCAACGTTGCAGGATATGAAACCAACTTACAAAAAGCACTATTTCTGTTTGCCAGTAGTAAATGAGCTAGAGATAAGAAAGCAGTCCCCTTTGCAGCAGCTAAGAAAACAGACTTGGGAGTAACTTATCCCAGAGGTGAAAACACCTCAATAGTAAAAACTATGAAACGATGAAATCAGCGGACACAAATAGGTGGAAAGATTGCCTGTGTTTCTGCACTGAGAGAATTAGCATTGTTAAAATGTCCGCAGTGTACAGATGCAGTGCAACCTCTACTGCAGGGTCAGTCCTTCACGTACAGAAAGAAAATCCTAAAACTTAAGGATCCAAATCCAAACTAGTCTTGAGCAGAAAGAACAAAGCTGAAGGCATCACACTGCACAACTTCAAAAAAGGCCCTAAAGCTATAGTAACCCAAACATTATGACACTGGTATAAAGATAGACAAGCAAAGTGGGCAGCAACAGATCAGTGCTGTCAGCTAGGATGCAGCTTCAAAGTATGACTGCCCCTGGCAGGCTCTTCACAGCTGAAGGGTGTGTGTGTCTTGCCTTTGAGGCATGCTACCGAGCAGACTTTATTTGGAGGACAAAGTGTGACTCTTTTACAGCCTTCACTAAATTTCAGAAAGACCTCATGCAGAATCGTTTAGGAGTGGTTGTGTGTAATCACAGTGCTCAGAAGCTTGTCTTGAAAACCAGATTCAAATCCTGGCTTTTCCTTCTGTCAGTTAAACTTCACACAAATGTTTTTAGCTCTACTGAATCTTTTTTTGCTTTTCAAACATTTACTGAAGACAAGCACCATTTTTCCTTTGCGCAGCAAGATTATGAGTTTCAAATAAGCTGAGCTATTAGGATTTGTCAGTTGCCATAAAATTAAAAATGATTGTATATGTCAAACTCATAGGAAATTCCATGCAATATGTAAATCACTAGTAGGCCTCTGGTGTAGTCAGCAAGTTGTAAAGTCACAGGAGTGATCTGACAAAGTGCATGATCAGATGACATCACTGGTGTGTTACACTAAATCACATTGAGTTGCTAGAGTACAAGCAGTGTACCCTACGTGTGGAGGTCTGCAGAATGGGGTGAATGCTGTAACAGGCACTGTCTGCTGTGGTTAGCCCGGTCAGATCATTTTCCCCAGCCACGTTCCCCTGTAAAGACTGGCTGGGAATTAGTTTTATGCAATTACAATTTTCACATATGTTCATGGGCTTTAAAAGTATTTACTTTGCAAGGCCTTTGGGAGGAATACGTGAAGTTAGATGTGTATAGTCGGTATAGAGTAGAGCCTCAGTAAGTACCGGTTGGTTTTTGATCTTGTGACATTGTTTAGATCACCTGACTTCAAGATAACTCAGTCTGCTTGTCCAAGGAATATATGTGAGATGACTTGAACTGGGAAAGAGAAAAGGCATTTCTTGTATTTTCTTTATTATTCATGGTCAAAAAGTGAGAAGTACATAATATAACTCATTTAAAATGTTGTCTATAAGGTTTCCATATTCTTTGAAGGTATCAAATACTCGTATTTTTATGAAGGAGAGAAGGGCAAACTGTGAATCTTAGATAAGAAAGGCCAGCTCCAGTCCTCCTGGAGCTGTCTGTACTGAGCCTTTGACACAACTGTTCCAGAGCTCCTGAGGGCACCTGTGCCTCCAGGGTTACTGCAGGGCTGGTTAACAGCTGTAGACTATAGACAGACCCAGTGTCCTTTTTAGGTAGGGTTTAGTGCTGCAGTGGACTGAGAAACCCTCCACTTACTGTGATGGGATTTCAGCAAGATGTTTAGCAGTGTCAGGCTGTTCTTCTGGACCCTGATCAGTTTTATTCAGAGATTGCTGATGAGTGGGAGGGGGCAGTTCCTGGTAGCTTTTTCAGGTAGTGACTTAGCTAGAGATACTGATTATTACATGCTCATCATACTTTCAAATGCAGGAAGCTGCGGGGTGGGGCTGAGAGAAGAGGGGAGGATAATGAAAGTCTGTGGGGTGTCAAAATCCAAATCCAGAAACTCAAGGGCAAGAATGTAATAAGGTGAAATTCACTTGCAGATGCATGCAGGGCCTGTGCTTGGCCTCTGAACCAGGTTACAGGAGGTACCTTAGGATCAGTGTGAAAAAGAACTCTGTGTTCTACAGTTGCTGTCATGTGACAATTCACAAACTATAAAGCCAGTGCAGTTCTGGCTTTCATTATTCAAATGTGTTAGCTAATGTGGAAGCTGAGATCTTGCTGTGCTGTGACCAGCCTGATCTTCCCTCATTTGAACAGAGTCCATCATATCAGAACCAGTGTACAAAGGAACACATACGGAAGCCAGGTAGCATGCTGGTGGAGGGATGGTTTATTCTAGGGAAGGCAATATTTGAAAGTCCCTTTAGGTATTAAGAGGACCACTTATTTAGGAAGAGAGTTAGGTGACATGGCTAGAACTTTGGAAAGTCTTTTCAGCATTGGAACCTAGCTCTAGAGGGTTCCAATGAGTTCTGTGTCAGTGGTCTCCACTGATGGGGGTTTCAGGCATCTGCAGGATAAGTGTATTAGATCAACAGTAGCTCCTTCAAAAACAAATTCTGAGGGCCAGGGATTTAGCTCAGTGGTTCCACCACCTGCCTTGCAAACGCAAGGTCCTGAGTTTGACCCCCAGTACCAAAAAAAAAAAGAAAAAGAAAAAGAAAAACAAATTCTGAAATGGTTCTATGAATAAATATGCACCGTGGAACATGAAGTTTTAGTGATTCCTTAGTTTTGCTTTTAGTGGCACAAAACTTTTATTTGGTGTATTGGTATTAACACGGGATTAAGAATCTTATCTCTGAAGTGATTGATACTAAGCTTTAATTTTTTTTTGGTACCGGGATTGAACTCAGGTCCTTGTGAAGCAGGCGGTAGAACCACTGAGCTAAATCCCCAGCCCCTAAGCTTTCACTTTAATTTGATAAAATGTGTAATTTTAAAGCATTCCCATGGTGGTAATTATGCATTAGTGTCTTTGTTATTTCAGGTACAGCAGTATTAAATGTGATGGGACTGTTTCCTGATGGTGCTTGTGTAATTGATAAAATACTCCTCTGCAGGTGGTGAACCTGTTGATGGCGATTCTGCTGACGGTGGAGGTGACTCATCCGAACTCAATGCCGGCTGTTAATGTTCAGTATGAAGTCATCGGTAACTACTATTCCTCTGAGAGAATGGCGGGTAGGTTTCTGGTTGGAACTGTGCTTTACTAATTGTATACATCTGAAGCCAATTATATTGCTTAAATTATGCCCAAATTATACTTCAAAGGGCTAGTTGCATAATAAAGATAAGGTTCCTTAAGCTGCTTGTATTTTGATGACGTTTTTCCACACATGCTCAGTGGCGATTACAGTAGAGGACTTCTGGCGGAAGGGGTAACAGACTGACTGCCAGGCGTTTGAGAACTCTGTAATTGTGAACCTCAGCACTGTCAGGTAACAGGCAGAAGGGAAAGGGCCAGCTGACTAGGGTAGTTGGGGTGGGAGATTTGCCCAGAGAGTTAAAAGATAAATTATTTGAATATTTGGTGATATAATTTGTTCAGGATCATAATTCTACGTATAGTTCAGTTTATATTATATGTAGAGAGATTTAACACTGGGATTAAAAATAGAGTCAACCTGAAACGTTCATATAAATCGCCCTTTGATGCCTTTTTTATTCTTCAGTCTCTAAATGCTCACCTATAATCCCTATAATACTTGGGAGGCTGAGGCAGGAGGGTTGCTGTGCATATGAGGCCAGCCTGTTCTGCATTGTGAGTTCAAGGCCAGGATGTACAAAGCAAGACCCTGTCTCACAAAATCAAAAAATAAATGCACAGAAAAATTCCTATTGAGATTGTATTTATTGTAAATTATGGAAGCATAAAATTTGGATAGAATTAGCCCTTGACATTTCAGCACAATTTCTACATGGCTTTTAGTTTCACTTGAGAGAAATGTTCCCAATTTGCATGTGTATTCATAATATAGGATCTCATTTCTCAAGTTTTAGGTTTTACTGTTCTGAGCTTCATTACATTTATGACCTTCATTCTTAAAAGCTGATTATTGCAATTAGAAATTCTGCTTTCAGTTTGGTAGTATTCTGTTGCGTATTTTGTTTGTATCTGAATGTCCTGTAGCAGAGAAGTCCTTAAGTCGTTAACGTTAGCTACGTAAGGGCTGATTTATGTAGTGCCCAGTACCGCTGATTTGATCTCCTGCTCAGCAGGGAGATGACTGACTTGTACAGACACCCAGGGGTGTGACGCTCAGCAGCTACTCCAGTCGTCCTTACTAGTGTCCTTTAGCTTGGTGGCATCTTTCCAGAGTCACAGAATCTACTATAGAAGCTCAGTAAGTCTGTTGCCTTCATGCTGCTTGAGATGTTGCATGAAAACATTTGGTGAGGATGGGTTAAGGAAGAGTTGGAACAATGTGAGAAAGAGTTCAGAAACAAAGGAAATAGAGAGCTACTGGGAGGCTGAGGCAGAAGGGTGAATTCGAGACCAGCCTGGAGCACGACAGAGCCTGTCTCAACCAAACAGAAAACACATCTGCTTAGTCCGGAAGCCAGAGTGAAGCAAACAATGAGTTCAACTATTTGGGAAGTTGGTGGGGAAGGGAGATTAATGCAAACTTGGAGTTTTAGGTTGTATTTTTCTCTAATGCAGGAGGTGGCACCTGCAGTTTTTTGTTTGTAATACATTGGCCTTTTAAGCAAACACGTAAGCCCTGTTCATCTCACCAGACCCAACTTACATTATTTCTTTTGCATTTTTGTGATTGCCCAGGGCAAGCCAACTGTTACTGCCTATCTCCTAGTACTCGCCCTGCTGGATTGAGTTACCTGTTTGTACGTGAAGACTGGTGGGCCTGTGTATGAATTTCTCAAGATTTTTTTTTCCTGGTACCGGGGATCGAACTCAGGACCTTACACGTGCCAGGCGGGCGCGGTGCCACTGAGCTACATCCCCAGCCCATGATTCATTTCTTAATGCTGAGACTTAGATGTTTTTTTCCTTCTTGGTCTTAGATCTTTATATAGACAGTTTTGAAAATATTTACATTTAAATATTTTTAAGCTAAAGTATTTTTCATCAGGAAGAGTTAATGTTCTTTTTGTTGTATAAGTAGCTTAATTAAATTTTTGTTTTTGTTTCCTTAGATAATGCCTGTGTTCTTTTTGCCGTCTCTGTTCTCATGTTTATAATCAGTTCAATGCTGGTTTATGGCGCGATTTCTGTAAGTAAGCTGTGTTTTGACTTTGGAGTTTGACCTTTGTTGAGCGGTAGCTAGTAATTTGATATATGTGCTAAAATGTGGTTATTTTCTTCCACAGTATCAAGTGGGTTGGCTGATTCCATTCTTCTGTTACCGGCTTTTTGACTTTGTTCTCAGTTGCCTGGTTGCTATCAGCTCTCTCACTTACTTGCCAAGAATCAAAGAATATCTGGATCAATTAGTAAGTGTGTATGCCAATTAATCTTTAAAAAAACTTTAAGTAAAATATTTTTATGGAAATCCTGAATCAGCCTTAGGTACGTCATTCCTGTCAAAATATCTAAAATTACTGCCATGTTAAAATCTGCAAGGTGAAAGTAGTACCATAAACATATAGTAATAAAAAATTTTAAAAGACCCTAAATATGGGTAGCACAGAAGTAGTATTTCAGCTCTTTGTTTTCAGTGTACTGAAAGTGGAATTGTGTTGGGCTCTTGAATGATTGGTGTTCGTCTTTCATTGTCCATAGCAAATAACTGAGGGCCTGCTTCTCATTGGCCCCATGCTAGGCACTGCTGGTGAATGGTGTGGATGTAGTTCCTTTCTTTACCTTTCTTTTTTTTTGTACTGGGGATTGATCTCAGGACCTTGCACTTGCGAGGTAGGCACGGTGATGCTTAGCTAAATCCCTGGCCCTAAGTTCCTTTTCTTTAAGGAGTAAACTTCATTTGGGGCATCAAGATATATAAAGATGTTACCTTGGCTGGACGTGGTGGTGCACTCCTGTAATCCCAGCACTTGGGAGGCTGAGGCAGGAGGATCGCTGTGAGTTCAAGACCAGGCTGGGCTACATAGTGAGTTCTAGGTCAGTCTCAACTACATAGTGGGACCCTGTCTCAAAAAACTAAAAAAAAAAAAAAAAGGTGTTACCTTGGACAACTAAGTGCACCCATCACAGCAACAATAAATAAGGAACTCACCATAATGCCGTGTAGTGGAGGGCCGGGAACACACAGCTGAGGCGCCCCAGCAGGGCTTCACGGGGAGGTGTTGGAAACAGCTGTGGAGTCCAGACAGAGGAAAGCTGGGAGAGGCTGCCCTTTCGGACTTCTCCCCACTCCCGGGTTTCCTGTCCAGTCTGTCTCACATTCCACCAAATGAAAGTGTTTGTTGGTGGCTTCTTATGTGCAGGGCCCTGCTGGTCCTAGAGATGCCTCAGAGGAGGAGGGATCGAAGTAGGCAAACGTGTGAGTGGGCGTCACGTAGAGAGGGAGATTTTAGTTGCACTGAGGGATTTGAGTTGGAGTCAAGAGGCAGAAAATACAGGAGAAAATGTTGTGGAGAAGTGAGCCCCTGAGGCCACCCGGCACAGCGTCATCTGGGAACGAAGAGGTGCTGTGGCCGTGGGCACAGGAGGGGAGACAGGAGAGTGGTGCGAGGGGCCGGCTGAGGCCTCCAGTGCGCGCTGCTGCCCGATGGCGCCTGCTGAGCCTCCGGCCGAGTCCTGAGTGGTACTCCTCCTCCTGCATAGTCCTAGGTGAGCTTAGCTAGCATTTTCCGTGCATACAAATCACACTCACGAAGACATATTTTAAGTGATGTACTTCCTTTAAAGACAGGATTTTAAGAAAAGGGTTTGTGGGGAAAACATCAAGTGAGTTTGCTATTCCTTTTATAGCAAGTGTTTTTTCTGTTTGACTTGCTTAACCACTCAGATTAAAAGGTGCTCCCTTGGCTGGTCAGCTTGTAAATCCTCAGTTCTTTTCTAATACCCTTCTTTTATTTTATTTTTTTCTTTCTGGTAATGGGGATGGAACTCAGGACCATGTGCTTGCCGGGCAGGCGCAGTGCCGCCGAGCTAAATCCCCGGCCCGCTGATGCCCTTCTTGAGATGCTTAGCTCATTGCCTTGCCCACAGTTAGGGCTAAATAAATATTTAAATGAATATAGCCAGTCCTCTTCAGTAAAACACTGTAAGTCATACGATTCTGCCTTGCTTTTTGTCCATCTGATGAAGAATTTGGATCAACAGTTGTCTTGTAGAAAAATTGTTTTCTCCGTGTGGGACTAAATGGCTTGTAGCATTTCAGCAGATCTCAGTGTCTTCTGATTCATCGACCGAGGGACAAGTCTGTTTTGCCCAAGGCTGGAAGATAGAAAATAGTAGAAAAGAGAAAATTACCTCAGTTTAGACTTTTGAGGTATTAAGTAGTAGGAGTTAAGAAAAAATATAGAAAAAAAATGTTGAGGGAAATGAGAGTCCTCTTTAGAGGACAGTATTCTTGAGGAGTAGTGATTGCCGGCATCGAAATGAGGCCTAAAAGCACTTTGACTTAAATCCTGCTTACAAATTCTTTATTAGTCTGTCTCCCACTTGTCATCTTTTGTTTGTATTCTTGCAGTGCTTTTACAAGTGTCATAGCTGCATTGTCAATGTGCGCGTGTCCTTGTGTTTTTCGTAGCCGGATTTCCCCTACAAAGATGACCTCCTGTCATTGGACTCCAGCTGCCTGCTGTTTGTTGTTCTTGTGTTCTTTGTGATATTCATCATTTTCAAGGTAAGGTGCTGACTAGATCTTGGGAGGGCACGGTTCAGAGACTGACCCTGTCCTTCGAACCTCCTCACAGAGGACAGGTGGAGGACTCAGGGACATGTTCATCCTGGCACGGCAGGACAGGTGGCTTCCAGGGAGTGCTTAGAAGTGTCAGGACCCTTCCCCAAATTTTAAGGAGCATCTTTTATGTGGTTTTTGAAAACAGTTTGTGATTTATCTTGGAAATTGATTATAATTCCCGATATTCACAGGCCCAGAATTTTCTCTGGAGCACAGCGTTTGGCAGGCCTGGATTGACGCACCAGCTGCTCGTGATGTTTAAGTGGGAGCCAGGAGGGGATTGGCCTGGATTTGCTGAGTCCCCCCAGGTGTTAGGTCCCTTTTCTACTGAGATCATGTGCAGCGGGGGCACTGGAAGTCACCTGCGTGGTGGAGCAGGTAGTCTCTTGAATTCCTAGCATTTGTAAATTTTGCTTTTATCTTTTCAGGCTTACTTAATCAACTGTGTTTGGAACTGCTATAAATACATCAGCAACAGAAATGTGCCAGAGATTGCCGTGTACCCTGCTTTTGAAGCACCTCCGCAGGTTAGCTAGTGTTTAATACATTGAAATGTCACTGGCTGTTACTGATTATTGTGAAAGAAGGCAAGCTTGACTTTCTGAAATCTGCTAACGCTATGGTTTGGGGCATAAATATTTTAAATCCATAGGATTTATCATTTCCCAGTTGGAACCCTAGGTTCTCGAGCTAGAGTCTCTGCACTGTTCATCTCATGTGATCAGTGGCCCTTCTCACCTTGTGTTTGTGTCAGACATAAAATTGAAAACAGCCATGCTAGGCTTGTGTGGCCTTGGCTGGGGGCAGGGTGCCCCTGACTGAAACTTGTGTTATTTTCAGAAAACGTCTATATTGGGAAGCAGTCTGTCTGCAGCAGAATGAATGCAGTGGGTTCCATGAGTTAGTTGAGGTCCACCTCTCATAGCTTTTTAATGCTACCATATCATCTTCCTAGGTTTTAACACAGAATGTATATGACTCATATCAGGCCACAGCCAACTTGTCCAAACCTAATGGTCAGGTCGGTTAGAATGCCGCCTCCCTACAGAGGTGTTCCCCTTGTCCTAGAGGAGGCACGATCCCTTCCTGAAGACTTTGCATCACACTGATCCTCATACTGCGGGGCCCCTGGACTCAGATCCTCAACCCCCTTAGGTGTATTTGGCACTGGTACTCTATCATTACTGGAAAGGGGGAAAGTAGGGATGCATACTGCCCAGCCAGGAGTCCTTGTAGCCTTGGGATTATCCCTGAGGAAGAATTCTGCCCGCCATCTACCCGCACCCTCCCCTCCATCCATCCGTCATCCATCCCTCTCCCCAGCAGTGTGGGGCAGATAACTCACCTGTATGTTTCTTGGGCATCCTTACTCTCAAGAACTGATGAACAGTTTCTTCAGCTCTTCCCTATAGGTTTCTATCACCTATTTAGGACACAGAATCTGATAACTGAATTATTCCAGAAGAGCTTCTTTTTTCTTTTATTGAGTTTATTGGTACATTTTTGGTATACAGTACAATTACATACATTATTGGGATCTTGTACCTTTACATGACAGGTCTTGGTTCTCATTTTTTCCCCATGTCCCTACCCTCCCTTCACCCCCTCCTCCCCTCCCCATTTTCAAACACTTTATTTCTATTTTTTCATTTTCTCCTATTTTTTTCTTTTCCCTTATTACCTTTCCCCCACCCTTCCCATTTTCCCTACACCTTCAGCCCTTTTCTTCTTATTTCTCATGGTCAGTTATCGCAATAGGATCTTAATGTACTATTATAGCTTTTCACACCAGAGAAACTATTCGGTATTTACACATGTGTGACTTATTTATTTCACTTAGGAGTATATCCTCAGTACGTATCCATTTTCCTTATGAATGACTCTTAATTTCTCATTCTCTATGGCTGAGTAGTATTCCATTTTATAGAAAACCCACATCTTCTTTATCCAGTTTCCAACTGATGGGCAAATGGGCTGTTTCCAACTTTTAGCTATTACAGTCTGTGCCACTATAAACATGGTTGTGTATATATCACTGTGGTACGATTCCTTTAATTCTTTTGGAAAGATACCCAGCAGAGGATAGCTGGGTCAAATGGAACCTCTAGTCCCTCCAGAAGAGCTTTTAAAGGAGAATCGTCAAGTAATTTTGTTCTCTCTGTATTTAGTATGTTTTGCCAACCTATGAGATGGCTGTGAAGATGCCCGAGAAAGAACCACCACCTCCTTACTTACCTGCCTGAAGACAGTCTGCCTTTGTCAATAAACCTTATACCAGCTTCTTGTCTTGTTTATTATACAGAATGCTGCAATACAGGGCTCTTCAAATTTGTTTGTTATAAACTACATTGTCTTGTTTAAGCATTTATTTTCAAACACTAAGGAACTCTTTGGACATTTATTAAACTTTTTTAAAGTCTATTACATTTTAATACTTTTTGAAGACAATCTAGGTTAAGCAAGAACAAAGTGCCATTGTATGCATATAATGGGGGGTGGGAATGGAAAGAGGGTATTCTTCACGTATTTTCTTTTTTAACTTTGCACTTTCTTTATATAATGGTTTGCATTTTGATTATTTGCTACCCTGGATGATTCAGGAAGAATGAACTCAGTGTTCAGGATGAATGAGTTAGGTATAAGAGCTTAAATTTTAGCTATGAAAACAAAATACATAACACTTGGATTTGACTGTGGAAGATGATGGTTGCATGTTCTAATTTGTATTGTTTCCACCTTTGTGATAAGACGCTTTAATAAATCTCTTAAATTTACTGTTCTCTCTCTTTTAATGGTTAACCGTTTTTGATAGCAAAAACCTAGTACTTTATTCCAAAATAGAGATGACAGGTTTATATTCTGAGAAACGGGCCCCTTTTCCTCTTGTGAACATCAGAGTGTGCTTACTAATCTAGGCGGTACCGATCTTGATGCAGTCAGGACAAACAGTTGCTGCCAGTGTGAATGACAAGTAGAAGGAGTACACTCTAAAACAGCAAGGTAAATTGTTATTGCCAAGTGTTACGTGCTGTGCATAACGATAGGCATGTGCTTTTACCTGACTGGCAGCACAGTGGGTTTGTTTATACCAGCGTTGCCACAAACCTGTGAGTAATGCGTTGTACTTTTTCAGCTTGTTGGGATTATCTGGGACCACAATCGTTTATGTAATTTTCTGTTTCTTGGCTGAAACATGGTGCATGGTTGTACCCAGACCACTGTGGGTTTTTTTAAAAATTTGAGAAAACACTAGACTTAGCACTTCTGTAATACAGTAACTCAGGACTTTTATTTTTTTCTTTTTTTTGAGACAGGGTCTCACTGTATAGTTCAGGCTGCCCTGGAACTCACTGTATAGCCTATGCCTGCTTTGAACTCGAAGTGATCCTCCTGCCTTAGCCTTCCAAGAGCCAGGATTACAGGCGTGCACTACCATGCCCAGCCTGGAACTACTAAGGTGAAGATATTTCTTGAATCACAGGCCAGCAGTTTCTCTAGTACTGATTTGACCAAAAAAATGTAGTGAGCTGTTTTTATGTCCTGATCGTTTAGGTAGTGAGGTCATAAAGAGTAATTCAAATCAAGTCAAAATGCATCATTTGACCTTAAAAGGGGGACCAAATAAGTGTAGTCTTACGAGTGAAAGTCTAGAGATCTTAAGGTGGTGTGAGGTCTGTATTGAATGATACTATATGCTAGAAATTTTAAAAATGAGTTTTTGGTGCTTTTTAGTACCCTCTCCTCACATATAGAAGTATCTAGAAGATGATGGAGTAATCTGCTTGGCTGTAGCAGTTATTCCACTATAGATCCGAAACCAGCATGTTAGGTACCTGAGATATGTTTTGTTTTGTTTTTGGTACCGGGGATCGAACTCAGGACCTTGAGCTTGTGAGGTAGACACGGTGCCACTGAACTAAATTCCCAGCCCAAGATACGTTCTTTTTAATAAGGGATGGAATAGCCAAGGAACGAACTAATATTGGGGCACCATCCTCCCTTTCATCTTGATAATGCAGCAGTGGTGGCTTTGTACACATCATTAGACATGATTTTAACAGGTCTTTCAAAGAGCAGTTTCATGTAAACTCTTGAGAGTACCTTTGTAGTCAGACCGTTACAATCAAGGGTGGCTTTTCTGAACTAGATCTTGCTTTTCTGCATAAAAAGTGAAGGGAAGTGTCCTTGTTACTCACTGTTGGAACAAAATACCTACACAACATTTTAGCGCAGTTTGTAGAAGTTTCAGTCCACAGGGCAGGGCAGCACGGAAGTCAGTAAACATACCCTGGCATGGCAGGTAGAAAGCAGCCAGCCGCCTTATTTCCTTTATGTTCCATCTAGGCCACAAGCCTTGTTGGTGCTATGCACACCCAGCATGGGCTTCCGTCTTCAGTAATCTCAACACTCAACTGCTGAGCCAGTCAGCAGATTAATCCAGTTACCACACAGTCATAATCCACCACTGCACACCCATGATCCAGCCAACTCCCCAAAGCCCAAACAAACGGGAGGGGCCATCTAGAGAAGTCTCGTGAGACCAGTCAAGCAGCCAAACTTTATTTTTGCTATAGTAATGTTACATTAAACATTCAATGGAGCCCAGCCCCACTGCCTGCACAGTTGGAGGAGGAGCCCACCCTGCCTGTGGCGCGGGTGCCTGGCAGCTCCGCACCTGTGGATCCCTCCCTCTGGCTGTGGATACCCACAGACTCCATGCCCGTTACTGTTTTCTCCCCTTCACATTGGGCAACCAAGGCACTCACTACTGACCCATGTGATCATAGAAACTAGAAAATGACAAAGGAATCACAAAGCACGGAAGTTAAGTGATATGCTTTTGAATAACCAGTGGGTTACAGAAACTAAGAAGGAGATTAGACAGTTCCTGTAAGTAAATGATAATGCCAGTATAACAGAACTTAACGGGATACAGTGACAGTGGTCCTAAGAGGGAAGTTTGTACCTGTGAATGCCTGCACCAGAAATACAGGCTAGGGCCAGAGGGGGTTAGCTCAGTGGTTCCATGCCACCTGCCTTGCAAGCGCAAGGACCCAAGTTCAATCCCCTGTACACCAAGAAAACAAAAAACAGACTAAATAACGATGCACCTCAGGGTCCTAGAAAAACAAGGCCAATCCAAATCCAGGCCTAGTATGAGGAAGGAAGTTGTAAAGATCCAAGCAGAAATCAATGAAATGGAGATTAAAAACAATGAATCGAGGAGCTGGCTCTTTGAAAGATTAAACAAACCTTTAGGCAATCTTGCACACATGAAAAAAGCAATACAATTAGAAATGAAAAGGGTGAAATAAAAGCTGACAATGCCAAAATTCAGAATATCAGTAACTTCAGTGCTTCACAAACCTGTATGCAAATAAACAAGAACTCAAAAGAAGAGATTCCTAGATACATATGAATTACCAAAACTGAATTGAAGCAATAGTAAAAAAAAATTCAACTGAAAAAAGCCCCAGATCTCATGTATTTATTCACTGCTGAATTCTACAAGATCTTCAGGGAAGATATAATGCCAGTAATTCTTAAACTAATGAAATCAAGAGGGAAGGAGTACTCCCAAAGCCATTCTTAGACGCTAACATTATCTTGATTCCAAAACCAGAAAAAGATCCAACTACAAGAGAACTACAGGCAAATCTAATGAATATACATGCAAAAATCCTCAACAAAATACTGGCACAGATGTTGGGGATTTAGCTCAGTGGTGCCACACCTGCCTCACAAGTGAAAGGTCTTGAGTTCAATCCCAGGTACAGAAAAATTAAGGAAAAAACCCCATTGAATCAAAGAATTAATTATTTGAAGGAATCCTTAGCTGACTATCAATACAAGGAAAGAAGAGACCCAAATTCATGCAATAGAAATGAAAAGGGGTAAATCAAAACAGATTTTGCAGAAATCCAGATCATCATTAACTACTTTGAGATCCTGTACTGTAATAGAAAACTCAGAAGAAATGGATAGGTTCCTAGATACATAGGAATTACCAAAGCTGAATCAAGATAAAAATCCCAAATACAATATCGGTCAATGAAATCGAAGAAGTAATTTTTCAAAACTACCAACTAAGAAAAGCATAGATCCTGACAGATTCACTGCCAAATTCTACAAGAACTTTAAAGATCTGATGCCGGTACTCCTCAGACTCCTTAATGAAACTGAAAGGGAAATAGTACTCCCAAAATAAGTCCTGCCAGTGAGAATTATCCTGATACCAAAATGCAGCAAATCATCGAAATGATTATACACCATGACCAAGTAGGATTCATTCCAGGGATGCAGGGGTGGTTTGAATAACATAAATCAATAAATGTAATACATCACATTAACACAAGGACAAAAAAAATCATTTCAACAGAAAAAGCATTTAACAATAGGAAACAGCAATACAATCATAATGGGGGACCTCATTACTCCACTGTCACAAATAGATCACCCAGACAAAAAAATCAACAACAAAGTAACAGAATGGAACCAAACTCTTGAACAAGTGGACTTAATAGATGTTGAGTGTTCTACCCCACAACATCAGATTACACATTCTTCTTAGCTGCACACAGGACATTTTCCAAAATAGACCACATGCCAGCTCATAGAACATGCTTAAGTAAACGGGAAGGAACTGAAGTTGTCAAATGCATATTACCGGGCCATGGTGCAACAAAATTCGAGATCAATAACAAAAGAAACCACAAGAACTTCATAAGCACATTGAAATTAAATAGCACCCTCCTGAACAACCAGGGGCCACAGAGGAAATTGAAGGAAGACAGCTTCTACAATTAAACAATAATGCCAATACAACAGACAGAGTATATGGGACACAATAAAAGTGGTCCAATGAGGGAAATGCATAGAAGTCAATGCCCATATTTAAACAGAGCAAGCGCAAATATCCTAATGTCAAATCTCAGGCTTCTCCCTCCTCCAGATTCCCCTCTGTCCATACACTGTCCACTGTTTCTCCCTGGAGCTGCCAACTCTCCATTCTTACTTTGTCTTTAGTGGAGACAAGTCCCCCTCCCTGGGAGCTGGTGCTAACGTTCCAAGACTATGTCGTTCTTGTCTCTGTGTCATGTTTAGTTTCTCCATTTTCTCCGTAGTTTCTAGTTTTCCTGACAGCTCTTTGTCTTCTGGAGATCTACTTCTTGTTTTCTTCTTTAAGATGTTTTCCAGGTGTCTTGCTTCCTGGTCCTACAGAGGTCATATTTTGCTGCTGGTCTTTGCTCCACCCTTTGGGGGAGGGGGTGCTGGAGAG